AGTATCCTTCTTCACTGAGCCAGAATCCATTTCTCTTTTTTCCTGGGTCAATGCTTTCGAGGTTCATCCATGTTATAGCACAATTCAGTACTTCATTTCTTTCCATGGCTGAGTAATATCCCTGTGTATGGATGTCCCATATTCTCTCTATTCAGTCATCCATTGATGGGTAGTTGGGTTGTCTCCAGCTTTTTGCTATAAACTTGACCTTTACTTAGTTTCTACTCTTTGACTCTCTGCTTGGTCCAGGGTCTAACACTGGCTGCTGGAAGGCTGTGCCAAGGCCAACCAAGCAGTCCCCTCCCTGCTCTTGCCTTAGGCAGCACGACTTGTTATTTCCCAGTCTTCTCAGAAGCCCCACACCACCAAGCCAGCTCTCCACACCGGTCCTCATGCCAACACCTCCCACCTCAAACCCCACCTTCCTGGATGGAGAAGCTGGTAGGAATCTTAGCTGGCTCAGCCCCTCATTAGACCACGGTTGTTTGGATTTTTCATGTGGTTTTATTGGGTTTTATTGCACATTTACAATAATCCCACCACTGAATGAAAGGCTTTACTGGGATCAGCCTGTGGAATCCTAACCACCCTTCCAGTCAGGGTCATTATTACCCTATTTCACAAGGAAGAACCCTGGAGAGGTCAAGCAGGCCTCAGGCCTCAGACTCCCAACTTCACGCCTTTTCTACCCTCTTATCCCACCCCACCCCACCCCACCCCCACACCTCACCAACAACGCTCTCAGGCCACATCAGCTCATTTTCCTGTATCTACCCAACCTTTTCCCTATCTTGGTAAACAAAAGCCTAAAATGAGACTAATCTATGTTTATCCAAGTTGCAGGTCCACAGAAACCACATTTCCTTCAACGAAAAAAATGGAGGCACTGTGAGACCACCAGATGGCACCATCTCTAAGGTCACCTCCCACCCCCTGCCACACACACCTGGCAGTGCCTGAGGACGGAGCACCTTCCTCCCTGGGGGCTTCAGCTGCCGGGCTTCCTGGATGTCTCTCTCTAGACTCCCTGGAAGGGCTGCAAGGGTGTCCTTGGAAGCTGCCCAGCGTCTAGGCTGGGGCTGCTGGGGCCATTAGCAGAAGGTACCAGGAAGGCCCCAAATGAGGTAAGCACCAGGAAGACAGGATCCGGAGAGAGGACTCCAGGCCCCTACTGGGAGGAAGCCCAGGACTTGACTGGCTCCCTTCTCTGTGCCCAATAGTGGGACCAGCTTCTGCTCACCTTCCTTCCTGTGGGTTTCTGTGTTCCATTTCCAGCAGAAGGCTCTGGGCAGTGGTGGGGTGGGTTCTGGAGCCAACCAGACACATCTCACCCTGACTTTACATTTGGCGACACTGATAGTGAGTTGGGGAGCCTGAACCCTCCTAGAAGGGGTATTTACACCAAGGAAAGCAGTAGGTGCTGCAAACCAGCCCCTCCCTGCCGCAGCCAGCCATTTTATTTCCCACACCTCAGCCTATGGGCCTCTGCAAGGGCTTGTGGGAAAAATGGATTGTCAGAGGCAGGAGACCAAGGAGGTGCTTCTGAGGAGTGAAACCCCAGCAGGGGAGTCAGTCGTTACTCCCACAGACAGCCAAGAGAAGGAGAGCCCCCAGGAGTACATGGTCCTGCTCCTTCATTCTTTAAAGAGGAACTGAAAAAGAAGCTGTTGCATGGTCCTAATGCTTCCAGCCAATGAAAGATCAATCCCAAACCTCCTGGCTCCAATCCAGTGCTCCTCCCTCAAAACACCAAACTATCTGCAAATCAAGAATGTCCCTCAAGTTGATGGCAAGCAAGGAGGCAGGTGTTCCTTTTTTAACCCTGAGTATGGAGACCTCAAAAACCGGCAAGTTTTGGCTCGGCGCCTATAACTCAAACGGCTAAAGCGCCAGCCACGTACACCTAAGGTGGCGGGTTCAAATCCCCAGCCTGGACCCGCCAAACAACAATGACGGCTGCAACCAAAAAATGGCCAGGCATTGTGGCGGGCGCCTGTGGTCCCAGCTACTTGGGAGGCAGAGGCAGGAGACTCGCTTGAGCCCAGGAGTTGGAGGTTGCTGTGAGCTGTAATGCCACGGCACTCTACCCAGGCAGATAGCTTGAGGCTCCGTCTCAAAAAAAAAAAAAAAAAAAAAAAAAAAACACCGGCAAGTTTTTTGTATGTGCTGAGGAAGCCTTGGGCACAATACCTTTTTTGGGTAGGTGGTCCCCTCTCCCTTCCTGCCTGTTTCCCCTGCCCCAGACCTCCAGCGGGCACCATGTTCCTTGCCTCATGACAGCTTACCAGCTAGCTCAGTGAGCAGGTAAGGAACATTCCCTGAGTGAGCTGGCCCTTCAAGGGGATGAGTTCAGGGTAAGGTTACATCCATCAGCTCTCAGAACAAATTCGCAGCTTATTAATTCTCCTGTTACGCAGGCAAAAGTAAATAAGCTTTTCTCAGGCTGCCTCGCACAGAGGCCTTCCCTATCCAAACACTGCAAGAGTGGACAGGTTTGGAAGCACTGAGCTCCGAGGCCTGCTTCCCACAGGGCCCTCCTGGCCTCCTGCCCACAATGTCTCAGCTGCCAAGACAAGGCAAGCCTAGGCGTTCTGGGCTAGGAGGCCCCATGGCCCTGGGATGGCTCATGTTCTCCAAAGGGAGCATCAGAGACCCCCAGGGCAGGCTGGTAAGGGTCTGGCCAGGGCTGCAAGCATCACTACAAACTTCCACCCTGCTCACTTAGCCCCTCGAGGGAGGAAAGCACCTTATAAGGATGTTTATTTACTGCGTGCTTCAGTTTAAATCCTGTTTTTAAAAGGTTGGAAGAAAGAAAGGAAATAGTAACAAAATCAAAAAAAGTCAGAAAAGGTAATTAAGCAGCCAAGGCCTGCTACGTAAACATTTTAAAAGAGGATGCTACAAGTGTTTATCAGTAGTTGCTCTATCTTTTGTCTGGTAAAGCAAGAATCTCATATGCTTTATCCTCGCTCCTTATTGCCCATCAGAAATCTCAGGAGTCATCCCCTACCTTTTCTCCCCATTTGTTCATTTCTGATTTGGAACAAAGAAAGCCCAAAACCACTACGAGAAACTCTAATAAGTCAAGAGGCAAAGACTCGAAAAGTGGAAAGAGTCAGAGAGACTGAGACACAGAGACAGAGGGAGTGATCATTAAGTGCTGCCCCTTGGATGAGCTGTGTACACGGCTCCTGCTGGGAAGCCGCACCCCCCACCACATGCACAGGCTGGAGACCATGTCCAGGTGAGTGTCATTCAGGCAGGGCATTGTCAGGTAATGACAGATATCACATCAAGGAGAGCAAGAGTCGAGATTTCATTTCAGTGTTTTCTGGCTTCAAGAGCTGGATAATTTGGGGTGTTCCTTTGAATTGTGCTATGACAAAGAGCGCCTCCTCATGCCAGCCTTGGCTCTGTCATCCAGCCACCAGGCACCCTGTGAGGCTGCGTCCCTCAAACCCTCCCATCGCCATCCCACCTGCAAACAAAGGTGCTTGAAGACTTTGCAGACAATGCCCAGATCACACTATCTCTTGGCTTCCCCATTGTAGCTGGCCTCTGGGGCTACCTAAAACACATTTGTGTCTTTTCCTATCTGAAGGCTGTCTATGGACTAGGCACATGGACGTTCCGAATCTGTTTGCTCTCAAGCTCCCGGTGCACTGTCAATACTCTCCAAAATCCAGTCTGCATCTTAAAATATTCCGGCCACCACATGAGTTTGCAAGCTCTCCAACCCCCCAGCAGAGTCCTTTCCTTTTCCTTTTCTTTTCTTGAGACAGAGTCTCACACTGTTGCCCTGGGTAGAGTGCTATGATATCACAGCTCACAGCAACCTCAAACTCCTGGGTTCAAGCGATCCTCCTGCTTTAGCATCCTGAGTAGCTGGGACTACAGGTGCCTGCCACAATGCCCAGGATCTCACTTTTGATCAGACTGGTCTCAAACACCTGAGCTCAAGCAATCCTCCTGCCTCAGCCTCCCAAAGTGCTAGGATCATAGGTGTGAGCCACAGCATCTGGCCCCCACTACCATTCTATCTAGAGAGGGAAAGGATCCCCAGGCCAGCAGGGTGCCCATGGTGGGCCCCCACTGTCACTTCCTGCCCTACCTTCCTATCCTAAGTACCAGCACACAAGAGCTGCATGTGACTCCCAGACCAGGGCTCAGGCCTGGATCTGTCTCACCCGGGGACCCCATCCAGCAGGACTCATGCCTTCTGCATGGACAAAGCCGGAGCTGTACAACCTTTCTTGTGCCACGGACTAGTGAAACCCACAGACCCTTCCTCAGAGTAGTTTTTCTTAATGCTAAAGTGAAATGCAAGCATGACAAAGGAAATGAATACCAAGGTAGAGTTATCCAAGTGTCTTTTAAAGAGCCGGGTATAGTCACATTATCTCTGTACTTCTAATAAAGATTAACTGAGCATAAACAATAATTCATGAATCAACTGTAACGTGATGTGAAAAGTGTGCTTTCCACTGGTGACCAAGTCTCAGGTATTGTGGCCTGTTAAGGTCTGCAGCCTCCATTGTGCTCAATTTTCAGTTGAAGGAGAGTGAAAGGGACAATGTGATTCTCCTCCCACCCCACCTCACAGGCCCCCTGAATTCTGTGTACACCCCCACCCCGCCTCCCCTGTGCCCAAGAGCTCCTGTTCTTCTCTGCAACCCCCAGAGAGAGTTACAGGCCCTCCACCCAGGTGGTGTTGGGTGGGCAGGCAGCTTCTCAACTTTCATGCACAAGTCAGAGGGAGTCAATTTTTAGGGTTCTGGGCTTGGGTGAAAGGCACCAGTGAAAGCGGCTCTATTTCATTCTCAGAGGGGAAGTCACCAAAAGGCACCCTGTGGTTCCACCTTCTTCAATGCAGCCCAAGAGGTGCCACCTACCTGCAGCAGAGCCAGGACAGAGTTACAGAGGAGCCCGGGCCTTCCAACATCCTTCCCACCCCCCACCCCTCACAGCTGCAGAGCAATGAGAGGGAGTGGACCGCTCACCTTCAGGCTCCTCCACGCTGCTGGCCACAGTGGTTGGCGGTGCTACGGGGATCTCTTTTCAAGGTTCAGGACAGGTGTAAGGGAAAACAAGGTAAGAAAACATTATTTTTGCCCTTAGCAAATGAGCCCAGCTCAGGACCCTCCCTTCCCCTTTCCCGTCCACAGCTCAAGAAGGGAAACGTCAGGGGAGAGAAGAAAGTGAGCAGTGGTGTCCTCTCGCTCTCCTTCAGAAGCTGTCCCTTTTTCCTGGCAGGATCACGATGGCTCCTGGCTATGAAGGGGAGAGGGCAGAGTGAGCTGGCCACATAAAGCCAACCTTCCCTGGTCTGGTGTGTGCAATGTACCTGCGTGTTGTCAACTTGGCTCAGCCCCAGGGTGAGGAGGCGGCTTGCCCAAGCCCCTCTGCACATCATGAGGTGGTTACCTGGGTCCTGCTCACCTGTGAGATCAACCCTGGGGTGGAGAAGAATCTCTTGGCAGGATGGCATGTGAGGGGGCTGGGAACTGGCCCAAGGGAGATTCCTCACACGTGAAGAGAGGGTCTGCATGAGGCTCCCATGGACTCACATCTCACAAGCACAGAAGTAGTAAGGGCCTGATTAAAGCCTGAGCTTCATTTTGATTCTTCTCTCTCTACTTGGAATAGCAATCCCTTTCTGCTGCTGCCTGGACGCAACCTCAAAAAGGTAAGGAGGCTCAGCTAGTCTCCCCTGATCAGCAGTTTAGCTGCTGGGCGTTAAAGCTCAAGTTCTTTCTGGAGAGAGCCAAATCATGGACCAAAAGTCCATAAGGGGAAGGGATTCATTTCTTCTGCTCAGTGACCACAAACCCCATGACTCTAAGCCACCATCTGACTCTTTGGGGTATGACCTCAGCCCCTCCCGATCAGCTAGGACGTGAGGGTTGGTGGATCACAATGGAATAGCAGGTCAAATGTGAAAGTCACCGAAGGTGGCAATCTTGACCACAATAGTCCCTCTGGCCATCCAACTTCAGCACCTGGCTCTGGGACTCACATGGAGGGCCCATGCCATCCTGGGCTGTGCCACAACAGGGCACTCATCCACCAGGCACTGTCTGAGCATCAGAAGCCAGACTTCTGGGGGGAAATGCATCAGCCAGGCATCAGCCCATTTCAGAGAGGAAGGGAGAAGGCAGAGTGTTAGGAGATGAGAATTCCCATTTCCTAAGGTTTTGACCTCTGATTCCGAAACATCAGCATCATTTTAAGACTTGGTCTTTCTACCTGGGGATTTGCAATGTTGGTTCCAGACATTTCTGAGCAACCTGAAAGATAACTTCCTTCAAGAGGGTGACCTCAGTTTCCCCCCATATTTTCATAACTCCAAAGTTCCTCACTTCCTAAAAAATGTTCACCTCACAGGTTTTGGACAGACAAAAGAGAGAGGTTTTGACAAGTTGTGAGACTAGCAATTGGGGGGTGGTGTGAAAACCATTTCAGCCTGTTCTCTGGATGGATACTGAGCTCTCTTCCCTAAGGCTCGGGCCTTGATTATGTGTTATTAGCAATGGCCTGCAAAAGCCATGTGGAAACATCTCCTGATTCAGAAACTGATCAGAAGAGCTGCTATAATCAATATAGCCAACATGTTCCTGAAGTGAAGACCACACCCAGCTGGACAGTGTAAACGTCTAAGGCTCCCACCTGCTGGGGGGTGTGGGTTTCTGCAAGGGCTACTCCCAGGAACTGGAGGTGGCTTGTGTGAAGGAGGGCCCCAGTCTCTGTGCTTGTGGCCCCTTGGCACTGGCCACGTGACTCTCAGGACTGACCATAGATGTAAGTGCCCACACAGAGCTAAGGGATGCTTAAAATCCCTAAAGCAGAGATGAGATGACTTCTGAAAAGGGCCAGGTAGTAAGTATGGCATTAAAGTCTCAAAGCCACTAGATTCCAAGAAAACTTTATTTATAGACACTAAGCTTTGAATTCCATATAATTTTTATATAAAGATATATGAAATATTTGTCTTCTTTTGATTTTTGATTCAACCATTAAAACAGGTAAAGGGCTGGGTACAATGGCTCATGCCTGTAATCTGAGCACTTCAGGAGGCCAAGGTGGGATGATCTCCTGAAGCAGGAGTTTGAGACCAGTCTGAGCAACATCACGAGATCCTGTCTCTACTAAAATTAGCCAGGTGTGGTGGTGCACACCTGTATCCCCAGTGACTTGGGAGGTAGGAAGATAGCTTGAGCCTAGGAATTTGAGGTTGCAATGAGCTACGTTAATGCCACTGTACTCTAGCCCAGGCGCAAAAAAAAAAAAAGCGAAAATCACCAAGCCATACAAAAACAGTCAGCAGCCAACTCCCTGGGCCAGAGGCCAGAGTTTGCTCTGTTCTCTAGAGAATCAGACTTTCTCCTGAGCTCTGCCTTGTCTGTTGGAATTTGCTCCGTTCCTTGCCCTGCTGACCCCCTGTCTTGGTCTAGGTCAGCTGTGCACAAGAAATTGGGAAGGAGGGGTGTGATAGCTCCCAACAGGGCTTGATTCCCCCTGAATCTTTCATTCAGGACACCAGAGTGACCACACCAGATATAAAATTCTGAAACCCTGCTGGGACAAGCCTCCTGAGTGACCCCTGCCATCTTGTTCACCCCCTCCTCACATTCCTGCAACCCAGGGGCTAATGGTTGGCCCAGCAAGGCCTCCAGGACCCTCAGGGTTTCTATTATCCTTCATGAAGGATGTAAGTACTGTGCACAGGAGCCCTGCCCAGCTCCTTCAAAGGTCCTGAATGTACCATGGACAGCAACAGTGGGGGCCCCTAATATGGGCCACCTCAGATCTGGAGTTAAGGTGGGCATGAGAATGGGACCCCGGAGACACCTAGAGCAGGAGACTCAGTGTGTGTCAGGACAGAGAGCCACAGACAGGCTGGCTCTGCTGAGCCCCCAGCTTCTTCTGCAAGAACTCTACAGACTTGGGGGATCTCCCATGGGGACTCAGCAATCACCGGGCACTGACTGCTGGGACTAGTGTGGTGTCGCTAAGTGATCACCCTGGATTATCAGCAATCAGCATCCCCAAAGGGCTCAGCCCCACCCCAGCCAGAGACATGGCAAACAGGGAGCCCGCACGTACTGATGCAGGGGGCGATGGGAGAGCGGCTCTGCTGGTAGCCCTTGGCACAGCGGTTGCAGGTGATGCCCGTCACGCCGTCCTTACAGGGACACTGGCCAGTGGTTTGGTTGCAGGTTTTGCCAGCAGCGCCCACAGGGTGGCAATCGCAGGCTGTGGAGAACGCACAACAGGAAGGTTAGAGGGTGGAAGGGGCCAGTGCATACCCTCCCTGCAGGCCCCCCCACCCCAGGGAAGAGCAGAGATGGGGGGCAGGCCCAGCCCAGCCCAGCCCACACACATTCCAGAGCTCTGATACTGGCCACCTGCCCACCTGGAAATGGGGAATAAAAACCAGAATGGACTGACTTGAAAGGCCTGCTTTGGCAGCAGGAACATGAAGTTGGGAAGGCCTTCCAAAGCCCTGGGAGGAAGGCCTGCATTCAGAAGTTTTCAGGAGCACAAAGCCTGCAGCCCTGATCCTGCCTGAGTGGGTCAGGACTTGAAGGCCATCTTCCCTGGACAAGGTAAGTCTATGTAATTCCACTCTGTCCTCAGCCAGCACCCAGACGCCAGGTTTCCATGCTGGCCCTGCAGGTGGGAAGAACGGGGTCTGGGGCTGTAAAGCCCTACAGTTTGCCAGGTCAGAGGGGGTCACAGAGAAAGGCAGTTCCCCAGGCTCCCTTCTCCTCCCCTTTGCAGCCAAGCAGTTGCAGCCTCAGGCTTCTGGATCACTAAACCCATAAACTGTAGCACTTAGAAGGGCCACAGTGATAATTCAGTTTATTTATTTGTCTAAGACACAGTCTCATTATGTCACCCTCGCTAGAGTGCTGTGGCCTCACAGCTCACAGCAACCTCAAACTCTTGGGCTTAAGTGATTCTCTTGCCTCAGCCTCCCAAGTAGCTGGGACTACAGGCGCCTGCCACAACGCCCAGCTATTTTTTATGTTATTGTCATTGTTGTTTAGCAGGCCCTGGCCAAGTTCAAACCCACCAGCCCCAGTGCATGTGGCCGGTGCCCTACCCACTGAACTACAGGCGCCAAACCCTGATTAAATGCACAAAAAAGGGAGCGGTAAAGGAAACTCCCAAGAAGGGCCGGCCATGCTATAGGTGGAGGGGTGAGGAAGGCTCTGATGCTGATGCTCCACCCACACCCCTCCCCAGTTTGCAAGGAATGGAGAAGTGAGGCTGCTCACTCTGTCACACTGTACCCAATCCCAATAATGGAGCAGCCAGAGGACCCTGGGGGAAATGTCTTGATGCTCTGGGCAAGAACAGGCCACACCAGCAGGTGTAGAACACCAGGATTTCCCGCTACACTCTGCCTCCCTGAACCTAGGCAGTGGCCTCAGAGCGTGGTGAGAAAGCTGGGGAGGGCAGAAGGAGGGCAGCCAATGTGCTGCCTGCCCCCTCCCCAAAGATGCTGGAAGAGGTGGGGAACTGTCCCTGAGAGGCCGCCCTGCAGAGACTTCAGTTGGTGCCCTGTGGCCGTTCTGTGTTTACTCCAAAAGGCACAAAATAATCCAAGCACACAAGTGAAAGCAGAGCTGAAAGAGCTTGAGGAGACCTTCCCTGCAGGGTGGGCCAGTCTGTGAATAAAACAGTGCCCCTCCCAGCCAGTCCTGGGCCCAGGAGTGGTTCCTGAGGAGATTCAGGAAGAGGAGGGAGGGAGGCAGGAAAGCAGAGAGAAGAATGTGAGGAATTATTTGTTGAAGTTGTGTCTGGACATGCAAAAGCTTCTAAAAACTGTGAGAGTGAGGGTCCTGGCCAGGCGTGTCCCTGTCAGGTTGGGGAGGGGTGGCGGGGGGCAGGCTGGAGCAGCACCTGCAGGACATCTTGCCCCCTAGTTCCTTGTCTCAGGACACACATGAGCAGAGGGAACTGCTCCGGTCTGCCCCTGCTAGAAAGCAGTCAAACCTTCTGTCAGGACATTACCTTCCTCAGTCTACCCTAAATTCAAGTTCATTTCCCACTGTCGGTCTTTTTCACTCATAAGAGAAGACCCAGCCCTGATGCCCCTGAGGCACACTGAGAAGGTTACTAAGAAGGGCATGGCTGGAGAGGGCCTTGACCTTTCCCTATTGCCTCTTAGTCTTCTCTAGGATGGGAAGGGAGGCATCTCTAAGTTGTAAATGTGAACAGCCACAGCACAGGGACCCACAGTCCCAAGCCCCTGACGTGGGACTCCACAGATTCATGCCAGCTGACCTCCCTTGGCCCTCTTTGCAGGCCTGCTGGTAATTCTAAAGTTCGTGCCAAGAAGTTCTCTCCTCAGTGCTGATGGGACACAGCTGTGAACCAGTAACTTGTAGCTCCTCAAATTTGGCTGGGGAAGGTCACAAAAGGTTGCTTGGTCACTGAAGGTGCAGAGCCAAGTCCCATGTGGACGCCACCACTGGCTCAGGCTGTCTTTATCTTGGCAGGAGCCGGCCCAGAGCAGACTCTGGGTGGAGGTAGGAGGACCAGGCATTGTTCTCCCCTGAGGGGCCCCTCATAGCTGGTGACCTGCTCAGCTGCCTGGGCTGGCACACAGCCGGAGGAGCCGGGCGCCAGCTGAGGTCTGTCAGAGCCAAAGGCCAACCTCGGTAACAGCAAGGCAGCTCTGGGCAGACACTTCCTAAGGGCCCATCCTTTGGTTCAATGCGAGCTGATGCTTGCTGCCAGGTTTCCAAATCTTTCTCCTAAGATTCTGCAAAAACTCTGACCCATTAGTCTGATCTAATAGAGGCAGCAGGCTAACTTTGCTTCTACACCAGCAAATCATTGTTCTAGGAAGGATAGTCATTGGGGTCCTAAAAAGTAGGGGCCTCAGAAGGCCACTGAGATGCCTCCAGGGCAGTGTGACCTACCCCGTCTTCATTATGCCCAAGGCAGAGCATTCCTCAGCAACAGCACCCACACCAGGCTCCTGTAAACCACTTGCTCATCCACACTCTTAAGTGTTGTTTCCTCTGGTTTTCCCAACAGTCCTGTGAAATGAGCATGACTGTACTGAGAATACCAGAGCCTAGCAAGGAAAACTGCAGGAGAAGGGTGTTGTGAAGGGAGATGGAAAGGGCCTGGGGCTCTGAGGTTACCGTTCAGGCCCCACGCCCCATCTGGATGACCTCTGTGGTCCTTTTGTCCTGCAAGGAGAAATAAGCTCTCATCCATTTAAACCAACATGAAATGGGTTTTCTGTTACTTGCAGCCAAATGCAATCCTAACAGACTTACATAGAATTCATTCTCAATTCCCAGCAAAATGACCCCACAGTAAGAACTTCCCCCAAAACTCATCAATAGGAATGGCTCAAATTATCCCCTCTGCAAAGAAGAGTTTCAAGGTGTAGGGAGAGTTGACAGAAGACAACACCCCCATGGTGAGTTCCTCTACAGCACAGAAGAGAGAGGCTGACCAGGAATATCAAAGGAAGAGACTCTGAGTCCAAAGGAAGCCTCAGAGCCTAGCTCTTAGGAAGACAAAAGTCATGAACCCTGATATACAGACAGAAACCACAGAAATTCCTAACTCACATGCACGTACACACACACACAGGAATACAGTGACACGAACAGATTCCTACTGTCTCTCTCTCACACACAGAAAGAAACTCACAGACTCACACAGAGGGAGGGTGGAGAGAGCTGGGAGGAGGCAAATGCCAGGTGAGTGGAGGTCTTTTCCTCTGCAGGGAGTCTACTGGGGGGTCGAAGAGGGAGCTTCCCCAATCCTTCTGAGAGCACAGGCCTAGATCAGAACATCTTCTACCACAGGAAGCCTGCTTGGTGACTCCCATTTCCCTGGAAGTCAGCCACCTTTTTCAGAGGGAGGTCAATTGCTTCCATGGCAGGTCACCCGTTTGCCTGGAGCAGGCAGCACCTGGTCATGGGAAACAGTTTACCCAAGGATTTTTCCATAAAGGGAAAGGTGAGGCCAGATGGAAGGCCAGGTCCCTGAGAACGCAGGGGGGTCATGTTTCCCACAAACACAGCAGGCTGGAGAGCCTCTCCATGAAGCTGAGAGCCCTACTGTCCTTGTTCTGGGCCATCACACAGAGACCGACAGCTCAGATGACCCAAGTGGTTTCAGATGGGTGACAGGAGACCCCAGTTTGGACCCTGCCCTGTCAGTGACCCTGGGTTAGTGCCTTCTCCTCTCTGGACAACAGGCAGCCCATCTGTTAGGTCAGAAGTCCACACTCCCACTAAAATCACTTCCAACTTAGGCTGAGGCTGAGTCTCCATAGCGGCTCCAAAGGAACCAGAGCCATCACTCCCTCTGTGGCAATGCACTGTGGTGTCCTCCCTGAGGGGTCAGAGGAGAGGTCTCCCATTGTGGGGCACACTGGGCCTTCCATACACTCCTACCAATGGCCTTGCCTACTTAAGGCACCAGCACCTGCCTGCATTGTGCTGGAATCTGTTGACACTTGGTTTGTCAGTGAAGAGAAGGGCATCCAGGAGCTCTGGAGAGCCCTGGCATAGCTAGCCCAGAAGGTTCTGACTCCTGGCTTGTTGTGCCCAAGTAGCTGCCCTGCTGTGCTCCCTCCCTCTGACGTTCACTGTCCTGGGTTCCTGCAAGCTCCTGGCCTCCACTGGAGAGGGGATAGCTCTCAGAAGGCTGGCTCCCTTTCCACTGCAGCTCACTCCATCCTGGGCTTCTAAAAAGAAGTATGGCTACTTTTCCTGAGGACCCTGACTCCAGGGGCTTTTGGAGTCAGGCAGGACCCTACAATGGCACCTGCTTGAGCTTGTAGAGGAGAGAGAAGCTGGCTGGGCACCTGCCCCTCTAGGGATCCAGGCAAGACAGGAGAGATGGAACAACTGTGGAACCCACCCTCACTCCAGACATCACCATGACTATCACCCAGGCATCTGGCCACTCATGAAGGACAGCTTCTGGCCTAGCCTTGTGTTGTGGGCCAAACTGTGACCCCCCTCCCCAGCACACAAGGCATCTGCTGAAGCCCTAACCCCCAGCACCTCAGAATGGGATATATTTGGACATAGGGTCTTTAAAGAGGTGATTAATTTAAAGTGAGGTCATGAAGTAGGCTGTGTCCTTATAATAAGAGAGGATAATGACATAGACTTACTATGTCATAGTACTATGTAGTATTATGTATGTCTAGTATTATGTCATAGACTTACTATGCACAGCATAGTAAGACCAGGCAAAGACAGGGA